TTATTGAGTTTATTATGAATTTTATGGTGGCTTAAATTTTTTTTTAATTTTTAACACAATTAGACATTGGAGTTCTTTTATGAGTACGACTTAGTGTTAATAACATTTTTCTTCATAGGTGCACATTAAAAAAAAAATAGAAATAATAAAAATGTACTTCATCGGGTATACTCTAATGATTGTACAGCAAAAAATTTGAAAAATCCGACTTCAGTTCTATAAAATAATAACGAAATCCCTGCAGAATAAATATGCTTTTTTAATTACTCCACGGTGGATGAAACTGATCTTAACTTAATTTTATGATTTATTTAAAAAATATTTTTCAAAATTTTTGAAATATTTTTTCCACTAGGACAAAATTGTTCTTTTTAAATCCAAAAGAAGCACGATGTTTAAGTAAAGACAAAAATTTAATTTAAAAAATATATTTTTTTTTTGTAAATTTCATATACATTTAGAAAATAACTTTTTGGAGATAGAAAAAATTGCAATTTTTGAAAGTTTTATAATAGATATTTATTTTATTAGGAGTTTAAGTGATACTTTATGTGTCGAGTGTGGACGATTAAATTAATTCTATACGAGTCACATGAAGTCACTTAAACTCCGAATGAAATACAATATTTTATTTTAAAACGATTAATCTTCTTTTGAAATGATTATTTTTATAGAAATGACACTTAAACCCCGGTAAAAGCGTCATATAAGTGTCAGTTATATGACGTTTGAAAATAGTGTTTTTTTTTTAATTTTTAGTGCAATTATTGAAGCCCTTTTATGAGTACGACTATAAAAAAATATATTTAAAAAAATTGAAAATAACAAATATCAGTTTAATACTTTGCAATATTCATTGTATGGCAAAATTATTATAGAAAAAATTTCTTAGTAATTCTTCCAGAAATAAACAGAAGTGGATAAAATTATTGGACATAACTTAATTTTACGATTTATTTATGAATTGAGTGTAATTTCTTCAAAATTTTTAGATTTTTTCCAAGAAGACAAAATTCTTCTCTTTAAATTCAAAATATTCAAAATCTAAAAAGCACAATGTGTAGTTAAAGACAAAAGATTTTTCTTGTAAAATTTCAAAACGTTTCATTGTCTTTTCAAAAAGAATGAGATTGATTAAGACCAAAAAAAAAAAAAATTAAAACTTTGTGCACCATGTAAATATTAATATTTTTAGAGAAGGTTTTTAAAACTTTGATAATTTTGATGAGGCTAAAAGCACAATTTTTGGAAATTTTAAAAATGTTAAAATTCGCATAAATTAGTTTCAAATTTATTGTGAACTAAAATGAAAATTCGAGAATTTTGTTTTATTTTTAGCACAACTATTGAAGCTTATTCATTCCTCAGTAGGATCCAGTACCAAGAAAATTTTCTTAATACTTGTCTATATATTAAAAAAAATTCTAAATACCATAAATAACTTTGAGTCTGCGATTCTATGTTCATAACTGTATGACAAAAATTTAGAAAAATCCACTTTCTAATTTAGAAAGGATGAAAATCTCGTAGAAAACTACTCATCTGTCTGTTTGTCTATCTGTCTGTCTGTCTGTTGTCTTTCTGTCCGGATGCCGCCTGTCTGTTTGTCGTCTGTCTATCTGTCTGTCTGTCTGTCTGCCTATCTGTGGTTTGTCGTCTATTTATCTGTTGTCTGTCGTCTGTCACGGTATGACCTGTTAGAGTAAACACATTTTCAACAATCCCCAGAAAAATTACACAATTTCTAGGCCTTCAAATTCAGAAGAATACACGGGCCATAGTTTTAGGCGGTCTGTTGTCTGTCTGTCTGTTGTCGTCTGTTTGTCTGTCGTCTGTTTGTCTGTTCCCTGTCTCTCTATCGTCTGTCTGTTTGTTGTCGTATATCTGTCGTCTGTTTGTCTGCTTGTTGTGTGTCTGTTGTCTGTCTGTTTGTCGTATATTTATCTGTCGTTTATTTGTCTGTCTGTCTGCTGTCTTTCTGTCTGTCTGTCGTCTGTCCGTCTGTAGTCTGTCCGTCTGTCGTCTGTCTGTCTGTCGTCTGTCTGTCTGTCGTCTCTCTGTCTGTCGTCTGTCTGTCTGTCGTCTGTCTGTCTGTCGTATGTCTGTCTGTCGTCTGTCTATCTGGCGTCTGTCTATCTGGCGTCTGTCTGTCTGTCGTCTGTGTGTCTGTCTGTCGTCTGTCTGTCTGTCCTCTGTGTGTCTGTCGTTTGTCTGTCTGTTGTCCGTCTGTCTGTCTGTTTGTTTGTTGTCTTTCTGTATGTCTGTCGTCTGTCTGTTTGTCGTCTGTATATCTGTCGTTTGTTTGTCTGCTTGTTGTGTGTCTGTTTGTGGTCTGTTTGTCTGTCTGTCTATTGTCTTTCTGTATGTCTGTCGTCTGTCTGTTTGTCGTCTGTATATCTGTCGTTTGTTTGTCTGCTTGTTGTGTGTCTGTATGTCGTCTATTTATCTGCCGTTTGTTTGTTTGTCTGTATGTCTGTTGTCTTTTTGTCCATCTGTCGTCGGTTCGTCTGTGATCTGTCTGTCTGTCGTCTATCTGTCGTATGTCTGTCGTCTGTCTGTCTGCCGTCTGTCTGTCTGTCGTCTGTCTGTCTGTCGTCTGTCTGTCGTCTGTCGGTCTGTCGTCTGTCTCTGTGTCTGTCGTCTCTCTGTCTGTCGTCTGTCTATCTGTCATCTGTCTGTCTGTCTGTCTGTCGTCTGTCTCTCTCTCTGTCTCTCTGTCTCTCTGTCTCTCTGTCTGACTGTCTATCGTCTGTCTGTCTGACGTCTGTCGTCTGTCTGTCGTTTGTCTGCCTGTCGTCTGTCTGTTTGTCTGTCGTCTATCTGTCTGTATGTCTGCTTGTCTGTCGCCTGTCTCTCTGTCTGTCTGTCTGTCTGTAGTCGGCCTGGTTGTCGTCTGTCTGTCTATCGTCTGTCAAAATTGTATAACAAAATATAAGCATGTTAAGTTTGCAAAAAAATAAACATAGTAAATCATTTGTCAAAATTTATCCGTTGTTTCCTCCGTTCCCAAAAATTAATGACATCATCTAAAAATTTTACGCAATAAGTTCTATCTAAAACATTACTAACAACATGGTGAGTATCTCACAAATAAACAAAAGTTAATAATTTTATAATTTATGAAATTGTTGTTTTGGAAACCTTTAGGAAAGCTAGAAATGCGAAAATTCCTAAAAATTGGTATCCAATTTTAAATAAACGAATTTGATATACTTATTTTTATTATCCACACAATGTTTCATGAGCACAACTCAGTAGAATTTTTTTTATGTATCTGCACGTTTAAATAATTTGTAAAAAATACATATCACTTTAATATTTTACGATCATAATTATTGTGTATCAAAAATTTTAGAAACATTTATCTTAGGCTGTAGAAGATGGTAAGAAAAATCTTGTAAAAAACTACCTACTTTTCTTATCCTAATTCACAACGGAAGTCGGAGAAATTAGCAAATTTTGCGATTTATGAAACTGCTGCAGAAGATCTTTTTCTAAATGGGCACTAAATTTATCTCTATATATGTAAAATTTTTTTCAGGATTTTCAGATGGTTGTATTTTTTTAAGGTTTATAATTTTCGTTTTCATTTTGAATTTTTGAGAATGAAAAACTTCCAAAGTAAAAGATTTGAAAATTGCGAAAATTTGCACCTATATCTACTATGATAACAGTGACATTCAGAAAGCTATTAAAACTTTGATCAGACCTACTACGATAAAATCGCAACCAGTAGAAATTAAAAAAATAGCTACAAATTAGTTTCAAGTTTATTTTTATGAACTAAAATGAAAGCTTGAGATATTTTTTTATTCATGAATACGACACAAAATTAATAATTTTTCTGAAACTCTACACATTAAAAAAAAAATAGTACCTAAATAATATCTGAATATTTTACAATTATGATACTATATAAAAAAATTAGGAAATAATAACAAAATCTTGCAGAAAACTATTTTTCTTATTCTTCTTTCCTGAAAAATAAACAGAAATCAATAAAACTGGTAAAACATAATTTTGTGATTTCGAAATTACTGTAATTTTTTCAAATTTTTAATTAAGAACTGGATGTTTGGGAAGAGATCTAAATTAAAGTCAATTTTTTTGTAATTTTCAGATGGTTGTATTGTTTAACTTTTATAATTTTCATCTTCATTTCTAACTTTGCGACAAAAATGAAAAAATTTGCAATTTTAGAGTCTTATGGCTCTAAAATCACAACTTTAAGTGTTGTAATTCGTATAAATTAATTTCAAGCTAACGACAGAGAAAATGAAAATTTTATTTTATTTTATTTTTAGCAAGATTATTGAACCTCATTTAGTATTAATAAGTTTTCTTCACAACTGTATGTGCGCATTTAAGATATGAAAAAAATATCTATAACAAACAACCGAAAATAAAATTTGACTACACTTCTTAAACTAAATAACGATAGTGACTTTTCCAAGTTATTTTGTATGCAAAGATGTCCATCTGCAGTAAAATCCACTTTTAACTTAAATTTGATCAATATTGAAAATTAATCAAAAAAGTTCAAAAAATTGGAAATTCAAATACAAGACCAGTTTAACCTTCCAAAATAACGTGTTCAACAAGACGTTACAAACCGCCTCCCAGCACCACCAAAACCCCAAAACCACCTCAAACCCCGATCGCCGTTTCCGATAAACCCATCTACTTCCAGCCCTCTCCCTAATAAAAATCAGGTCGCCGAAAAAAACCCACTGGTCACTCCAAACCTGTTCCACGGTCCACGCATGAGAACGCCGGTCCCAAGAAAGGGTCAGCGATTGCCCTCCGCTGCAAAACCACCCTTATTCCCGGCCTCAAACAGCTCACCCGTCCGAAAGAATAAGACACCCTTGGAAATAAACAATTGCAATGTCCAGTCGCCAACCTGATTTTCTAGTTTTGGTCTGCATTCATTTACATTTCGGCTGGCACCTAGAAGAGGATTTATTTGGAATATTTTATTCAGTCCGATTCGAAAACTGCCAGTGATAACATCGTGGCGAGAGCCCCGGGTGTCCAAGGAGAAGGCGAAGAAGTCGAAGTCTTGGAGAGCTCGCTCGGCTGCCCTCAGACAAGGTGAGTTGATTTAAGGGTTGGTTTGACGAATCATCCGTATAGTTTACGCGCAAATTGACGATTTCCTCTAAGACCCTCTTTAATACAAATTGATTAGATTTTCGCCCTCTTATAACTAATCTTATTAGTCATTAATTTTAATTTAATATCGGCAAGCTGTGCGAGCGGATAAACCGCAACAGCGATGGGGAAGAAGCGCCAATTATGGAAGTTTTGTGTTTTTTTTTTTAATTAAAACTGTCACTTGGGGGGAATTTTTCGCATATTTTGTTTTAAGGGTCGTGACACTTTTATTTGTTGCGATCCATAAATTCACGCAAAATCGGGTTCTAATGTTGCTGTTGTTGCTTACACTCCAAGGATATACTCGTAAATTGGATAAGAAAATTTTGTCAAAAAATACGGTAAAACTACTACTAATGAACGGTCTCAAGAGACAAATGCAATATAAGTTCAAATTATGTTAGATCCAAAATCATTTCAACTAATGCTTGTAAATTATGCAATGATTTTTAAATTCTTCTAATCATGAATAAATTCACTCCCAAAATTCTGCAAATAAAGTTCCAATTTTGCAAAAGGTACTGTGAAAGTACTGAAAGTGAGCGGTCTGAAGAGGTAGGCGAAATCTCCAGCATTAGTAACCATACCTTAATTGTATTAAGTCCAACATTTTCTGTAAAATAATAATTAATTGCATTTAATTAAATGTTAAAAACTGCACAATTTTTTAAAAATAAAAAAATCAGGTAATAATATTTTTAAAGAGCAGAATGATTAGATTTTATTAGTTCGAAATAAATTCAACAGTTTATAGTAACTCCCGTAATTATGGAAGGAATGTTTTGATGTTTCAAAATCACTTTTATTAGTTCCCATGAATTGTAAATTGATTTATTTTGAACTAATCATAAACTAATTCTATAAATAAAAAAAAATAATGAAAATCTAAAACATTTCAGTCGAAATTACTTGGAAGTAATTATATTTTACCTTATTTTGAATTTCATTTGTTTTTTCGGACTGCTCACCAGCAAAAGTTTTACTGTACGTTTTGACAAAATTATTTGAGAGCTATCTATCTATTTTAGGAATTATCATACTTTGGTTATTGAAATCGCCTTTCACACTATAGAATTAGTGAAATTTTTTTAGAATTATTGGAGTTTCAAGGAATTAAGAAATTTTTCATAATTTGTCTAACTTTTGTTAAAATTTACATACTTATTATTAAGCACTTAGAGCGAACTATTGATAAAATTTGTTTGATTTTTAACAAACTGTTTTGGATTTTTATATTTATTTTGACAATAGGTGAAGTGAAATTATTTTATAATTTGCAGTAATAATCAAAATTCTCCGTAAATATTTCAAATTATTTTTGTATAATTGTTGATTTTTTTTTTTGTAATATACCTAGTCATTTCATTCTTTGCACCAAATGCTACTGAAAAGTTTTATATATAAAAAATAGAAATTTATAGAATTAGTTTAGGACTAGATCAAGGGAGATTGTTTTATAATTCCCGGGAATTAGTAAAAATTGTTGAAATTACTTGTAACTAAGAAAATTTGGAATTATATTTTACGTAATTTTGAATTTAATTTATTGTTAGCTGAAATTCACTGTACAATTTGACGAAATTATAAGAAAATCATCCTCTTATTTAACGGCATATTTTTCTTCGTTTTTTGAAGTTGCTTTTCACACTGGAATTACGGAAATTCATCTGGAAATTACTGTAGTTACAAGGAATTACAACGATTTTTTTCGATTTGCCTAACTTTTTTTAAAATGTACTACTATTTTTTTAACCTTAGAGCGAACTGTTGAAAGAATTTCTTTGGTTTTTAATCAACTGTTTTAGATTTCAACAATTATGTCAGGACTAGTTGAAACGAAATATTTTATAATTTGCAGTGATAATCAAAATTTTGCGTAAATATTTCAAACTATTTTTGTATAATTTTTGATTTTTTTTTGTAATATACCTATTCTTTGAACCAAATGCTATTGAAAGTATTAAATTAAAAAAAAAATGAAATTTATAGAATTACTTTAGGACTAGATCAAAGGAGATTGTTTTATAATTCACGAGAATTAGTAAAAATTGTTGAAATTACTAGTAACTAAGAAAATTTGGGATTATAATTTACCTAATTTTGAATTTAATTTATTGCTAGCGGAAGTTCACTGTACAATTTCACAAAATTATAAGAAACTCATCCATTTATTTAACGGCAAATTTTCTTCGTTTTGTGAAGTTGCTTTTCACACTGGCATTACGGAAATTCATCTGAAAATTACTGTAATTACAAGGAATTACAACGTTTTTTTCGATTTGCCTAACCTTTTTTAAAATACTATTACTATTTTTTTTAACCTTAGAGCGAACTGTTGAAAGAATTTCTTTGGTTTTTAATCAACTGTTTTAGATTTCAACAATTATGTCAGGACTAGTTGAAACGAAATATTTTATAATTTGCAGTAATAATCAAAATTTTGCGTAAATATTTCAAATTATTTTTGTATAATTTTTAATTTTTTTTTTGTAATATACCTATTCTTTGAACCAAATGATATTGAAAGTTTTAAATTAAAAAAAAAAATGAAATTTATAGAATTAGTTTAGGACTAGATCAAAGGAGATTGTTTTATAATTCACGAAAATTATAGTAAAAATTGTTGAAATTACTAGTAACTAAGAAAATTTGGGATTATAATTTACCTAATTTTGAATTTATATTGCTAGCGGAAATTCATTGTGCAATCTCACAAAATTATAAGAAAATCATCCAGTTATTTAACGCCAAATTTTCTTCGTTTTTTAAGTTGCTTTTCACACTGTGGAATTACAGAAATTCATTTGGAAATTACTGTAATTCCAAGAAATTACAACAAATTTCTGCGATTTGCCTAAATTTTTTAATTTTCACTACTATTTTTTTTAACTGTAGAGCGAACTGTTGAGAGAATTTCTTTGGTTTTTAACCAACGGTTTTAGATTTCAACAATTATTTTAGGATTAGTTGGAACGAAATATTTTATAATTTGCAGTAATAATCAAAATTTTGCGTAAATTTTTCAAATTATTTTTGTCTAATTGTTGATTTTTTTTGTAATATAGCTACTTATTTCATTCTTTGAACCAAATGCTACTGAAAGTTTTAAATTAAAAAAAATTGAAATTTATAGAATTAGTTTAGGACTAGATCAAGGGAGATGGTTTTATAATTCACGGGAATTACTAAAAATTGTTGAAATTACATGAAACTAAGGAAATTTGAAATTATATTTTACCTAATTTTGAATGTAATTTATTGCTAGCTGAAGTTCACTGTACAATTTGACAAAATTATAGGAAAATTGTAGCCTTACTTAGCGGCATATTTTTCTTCGTTTTTTGAAGTTGCTTTTCACACTGTGGAATTACGGAAATTCATTTGGAAATTACTGTAATTACAAGGAATTACAACAAATTTTTGCGATTTGCCTAAATTTTTTTAAAATGTCCTACTATTTTTACTAAGATCTTAGAACGAACAGTTGATAAAATTTCTTTGATTTTTATAAACTGTTTTAAATTTCGAGAATTATTTTGGAATTAGTTGAGGCGAAATTATTTTATAATTTTCCATAATATTCAAAATTTTACGTAAAACTGCTGAATTTTTCTTGTAATATACCTCGTCATACATTTTTTGAACAAAATGCTACTGAAATGTTTCACATTTTTCATTTTTTTTTTAATTTTTGAATTAAATAGTCTAGGACTAGATCAAAGGAGATTGGTTTATAATTCGCCGGAATTACTAAATTTTGTTGAATGTACTTGTAACTAAGAAAATTTGGAATTATATTTTACCTAATTTTGAATTTAATTTATTGATAGCTGAAGTTCACTGTACAATTTGACAAAATTATAGGAAAATTGTCTACTTATTTAACGGCATATTTTTCTTTGTTTTTTGAAGTTGCTTTTCAGACTGTGGAATTACGGAAATTCATTTGGAAATTACTATAATTACAAGGAATTACAAAAAACGTTTGCGATTTGCCTAACTTTTTTTTAAATTTCCTACTATTTTTACTAAGATCTTAGAACGAAGAGTTGATAGAATTTCTTTGTTTTTTTATAAACTGTTTTAAATTTCGAGAATTATTTTGTTATTAGTTGAAGCGAAATTATTTTATAATCTTCCGTAATATTCAAAATTTTACGTAAAACTGCTGAATTTTTCTTGTAATATACCTCGTCATACATTTTTTGAACAAAATGCTACTGAAATGTTTCACATTTTTCATTTTTTTTTTTAATTTTTGAATTAAATAGTTTAGGACTAGATCAAGGGAGATTGGTTTATAATACGCCGGAATTACTAAATTTTGTTGTATGTACTTGTAACTTAGAAAATTTGGAATTATATTTTACCTAATTTTGAATTTAATTTATTACTAGCTGAAGTTCACTGTACAATTTGACAAAATTAAAGGAAATTTGTCCGCTTATTTAACGGCATATTTTTCTTCATTTTTTGAAGTTGCGTTTCACACTGTGGAATTACGGAAATTCATTTGGAAATTACTGTAATTACAAGGAATTACAACAAATTTTTGCGATTTGCCTAACTTTTTTTAAAATGGCCTACTATTTTCACTAAGATCTTAGAACGAACTGTTGTTAGAATTTCTTTGGTTTTTAACAAACTGTTTTAGATTTCGACGATTATTTTGGGATTAGCTGAAACGAAATTATTTTATAATTTGCGGTAATAATCGAAATTTTGCGTAAATATTTCAAATTATTTTTGTATAATTGTTGAATCAAAGAAGATGATTTTGTAATTAGCGGGAATTAGTAAAAATTGTTGAAATTACTTGTAACTTTTTTAACAATTTCAATAACCAAAGTATACTAAGTAGATAGCTTTCAAATAATTTTGTCAAAACGTACAGTGAAACTTCCACTAGTGAGCAGTACGAAGGAACAAATAAAATT